AGCTGGGGTGTGGGGTGCTGCGCGGCCCCCAGCTCCTCGCCCGCTGCTCTGTTCCGGCCGGGCAGCCTGCCTCCGGAGGCCTGTTCACGGCTGACGGCTTCCCTCCGGGCAGGGGACCTGTGTGCTCGCGGTCGGGCCAGGTTAGCGTTGGCATAGGGGACTGTCAATCACAGAGCAGGCGTGCAGGGGAGAATTCTAAGAATCTGCTCTCTGTGCTGACAGGGGGGAATTGGAGCCCCAAGCAGCCACCAAGCGCTGGGGGACCCGGCGCTCCCCCGGCTGTAATTAACTGGCTCACACTCCCTCCTCCAGTCCAGGCAATAAAGAAGCCAGTTGTCCTGGGAGCAATGTCAGGGCTGACATGGAGTGACCCCAGGGCTCCTCTGGTGACAGTGACGGGAGGGGGATGGCGCGGCAGCAGCACCTGTGTCCCCAGCTACAGCAGCAGCTGAACCCCACTTGCCCGCCCTGAGCAGCCTCGGCCTTGGGGCCCCCACCCCGTCTCTCAGCCTGTGTTGCCCACTCGACAGCGGGGTGGGCACATCCTTCCTGGCTTGCTGTGGGTGAGGGGCCGTCCCTGGGGCTGGAGGCCAGCTCTCTGCAGGGGCAGGGCCCCACGGCATGGGAGCAGCTTTGGGTACACACCCACTTCCGTCCCCCGCTGACACCTCTGTGCTTCTGGGCCTCGCAGCCACCCAGCTGTAGGACCCCCCAGCCCTGTGGGAGGGTGCAGGTGCGAGGGGTGGGGGCTGAGGAGGGGCCCAGGAGGGTGGGGGTGTTCATGCAGTTCACACTCCGCCCTATGAGGTCTAGGAATTGGGGTGCAGCTCTGCGTGGTGGGAGCAGGGCCGCCCCCACCCCACCCAGGGATCCTCTATCCCCGCTGCCACCAACTAAGCAGCTCAGCCCCTGATTCAGACTCCTTCTTAAAACGGGTCCTTGTGACTGTAAGAACTAACTCCGTCCAGCTCCCGGGAAGATGGCTGTTGTTAATTGTGCTGGAGAGGACACAGGACAGGCTGTCACCGGGGCTACGTGCACGCATGCACACGCGTTCACACGCACACCTGCTGGGAGGGGACGCCACGGTGGCGATGGTCGCGTTTTGTGCCATCTATTGAATGACTTTTTGTGTTTTCCCGCTATTTTATGACTTGTTATGTACGCGTATTTTAATAGCTTTACTGAGGTGTGATTTACATGCTGTAAAATACATTCATCTTAAGTCAACGGTTGAATGCGCTTGGGTAAATGTACGGGCTGCTCAGCCCCCATTCGGTCGGGGAGCGTTCACACGGCCCCGAAAGGGACCCCCTGCCCACCATGTGCGGTCACCTCCAGCCCAGCAGCCACTGCCTTCCTGTCTCTGGGCGTTGCCTTTTCTGTTCATTTCTGTAGAAATGGGGTGGTGGGGGGGAGGGTGTTGGGGGGGGTGTGTTGGGAGGAGTGGGGGGGCGTCTCCCTGCTGGCAGGATGTCTTAGATCCTCGTCCACAGACAGTACTTCAGCCTATCCCTGCCCAGTGGTTTCCCTGAGTTGTTTTGTGAAACCTGGACATTATGGACTTACATTTCAGAAGCTTTGTGTCTAGAACATCCCTAGTGGGCTCATCTCATGGTCAGGACCAATTATCCAGAAGGAAGAAAGTTGGGCAGAGAAGAAATCTCGGGGCCCAGAGTGTGAGGAGGCCAGGTCAGGACGGGGCTTGGGGAGCCGCCTGTCCTGTGCCCGCATCTTCCCAGACCTGAGGTCTCACACTCGCAGCTCAGCAGACTTGAGCAAGCCGGTTCGGAAGACAGCAGGTGTTTAGAACGGCGTTTATTTGCGGGGCTGGCCACATTTCTGTGTTTTCCCAAAGGACGGAAGCTCTTATCTTCTTGATAAGCCCAAGGGCAGAAGTGCTTGGCCGGTGGGCAGGTGTGGTGGGCGGAGGTGGCCCTGGATGACGTGGAGCCTGTGCAGCCCTTCCAGGAAGTGACCGCAGTCCCCCTGACACGATGTGGCCACTTCCCTGGCCCTGGGACTGACCCCAGAGTGTGGAACCTGCGAGCCTTCCGGTGAGAAGGCAGGGCCTGGGGCAGGCGCTCCCCGTCTTCGTGAGGGTCTCTCCACAGCACTTACCGATAGACGCGGGGCTTCGTCCCTCTTTCTCTCACTGGAGGTGTTGGGGGCTCGTTTGCTAACCGTCACCTGAAACGGCCAGCACCCGCCCAAGCAAGGGGCCTGGAGAGCCCGAGGCGGCTCACCTCCCTCTGCGACACTGACTGCCCCGCGGCGCTCTGCCCTGGGAGTCGGGGCCCTTCTGGGCCCCGCACCCACCTCGGGGGCCCTGCCGGCTGTGTCTCCACGGCCCGGGTGCGTCTTGGTGTGTGCGTGGCCGTGGTGCCCTGCCCCTCACGTGCCGGCCGTGTGCTCAGACATGCGTGTGAAGGAGCGTGTGCGTTGTCCTTTAATAACAGAGCGTTGGTGACCTTTAGTCCGTGGGTCACAGGCCATGGAGCCGGCAGCCTGCGTGCAGGGAACGCCCCGCTGGGCAGCCTCCGATGGCTGCTTGTTGAGGAATTGTTAAATGGCCGGCTGAAACGACAGACACCTGCAGGTGAATAGCTTTGCCTTCACGCTGGAGTGAAGGGGCCAGGCAGCAGCCTCTCCCAGGCGCCCGCCCGGAGAGGAGCCCAAATCTGGGCAGAGCTGGGGGAGGCCTCAGCGGGCAGACAGAGCCCACAGGGCCAGGCGGCGGGAGCCCTGCAGGGTGTCCGGGCTGGAGTGTCCCCGCGGACTGTCTCCATCTTCGCCCGCAGCGGGGTTCTCACTGCTGGCACAGGTGGGAAGTGACCCCGGGGCCATGAAAGAATTGGCGTCAGTTTCCAAAACTGAAGGGAGTCCACGGAGCCTGTGATTCGTTCCCCTCAGGGACCGGGCAGGAGGCTGCACGGGGCCCGGTGCTGCGGCCTCCACCACTCCGGGCACCTTTCTGGGTTCGGAGGCCCCGCCCGCCCGCCTCCAGCGGGGACCTCGGCAGTGTCCCTGGCTCTCTGCAGCCTGGGCGTCCGCAGAGCTTTTCCCCTTGGTCCCCGGGGAGGAGGAGGGGGGCAGTGCCAGGCAGGGGAGCGGGTGCCAGCCCGACACTGTTTATTTGCATTCCACTCAGCCTGACGCGTCCCCGCTGTTTACAGCCCTGGACCTTGCCCTGCACGGCCGGCTGGGACCTGGCCCTGCTGCGCTTTGGGTCCCTTCCCGGCCAGGAGCTCTGCGAGGGGCCCGGAGCTCTGCGAGGAGCCCGGTCCTCGGGAAGCCCAGGCCGCTGGGTGGGTGTGTGGTGCTGTGCGCCCCCCCGTGGCTGGACGAGGGGGAGGGCGGTGTGGTGACGCGCGGGCCACCCTCCAGGCGGCACGCAGGCCGTGGCCGCCCTGCCCTCCCGGCCATGCCGCTGACCAGTTCTCTCCTACAGGAGGAGATGGAGGGGACGCTGTCCTGAGACCGGCCCAGGGGCTGCGACATGACTGTGGAGAGCAGGGACATCCTGGTGCTGCTGCCCACGCGGGAACAGCTGCGGCTGGTCGTGGGGGTGAGTGCCCAGCGGAGCGGGGGCGGAATGACTGTGGGGTGATCGTGGGGGACTGTGGGGTACGTGTGGGGAAGGGTGACCGTGGGAGTGGCCCTGAGGGTGGGCAGGGGGTGGGGGGAGGGAGAAAGACAGCGGGGTGTGGCAGTGAACGCGGGGACATCGGGCCGACGTGCCCCCTGCCTGGCCTCTCTGAGGAGCTGTCATTTCTGACCCACTGCGGCCTCAGTGTCCCCTCGTGCTGTCTGGCTCATGGCTGTGGCTGGGCCCACATGAGTGTCCAGTGTCCTGACCTGAGCGCTGCCCAGTCCCCCCAAGACCAGTGTCCTCCTGGGCTCCCTCTGCTCTGGGGACCCGTCCCATTTGGAGCTTCTCCCTGGGACCTGGGAGTGGGGGTGTGTGTCTGAGAGCGGCTGTGTCCCCGCCGGGAACAGATGCTAAATGAGGCCGGAGAATCAGCCCCTCGGAGGCAGCGCCTGGGGACACAGAGCCGCAGCCCTGTCCTCCCAAGAAGGTGACCCCACTGGGAAGGAAGGAGCTGTGCGCATGTAGCGTGTTGCCTCCCCAAACACCAAGGCTTTCTGACGTTCAAGACCAGTGCCCGTTGACGTGGCGCTGGGCGCTTCTCCCCTCGCACTCCTCGCCGTCCACTTCCGCTCCTGGCGTGGCTGACTTCACCCCCAGGCCTCCCACAGCCCCTGCGCCGGCGCCTCCAGGGAGGTGACTTCCAGACACAGCTGCCAGTGCCTGCCCGGGGGAGTCGCCGGGCTCCTTGCGTCTGAGGGCGGCCACGCAGTGCTGTGCCCAAGACGGCCGGGCAGGGGTCACCTGGGCCGTCTCTGGTGACAGGCCCGTGTGACCTCCACCTATCGCATCACTCAGCTTATCCTTTTACGAGAGATGCTCATGATGCATAATAACTCGTCAATTCATGGGCTCAGTCAACACACACAGGGTACCACCTGAGCAAAGGTGTGCGGACTGGTGCTCTCCACACAGGTGTGTGGCTCCCGCAAACCTCCGCCAGGTGACCCAGCTGCTTGCGTCTGCGGTAGATGACTAAGAGTCCCCTGCTGGCTCCCTGTCACGGACCCGTGTGTGAGGCCAGCGCACCCCGCAGACGTGGCCGCCCTCACCCAGCTCACCTCCTCACAGCCTTCCCCACGCCGTGGTCACCCCGGGACAGAGCGGCTCCCAAGCAGTCATTTTAGAGGACCTGCTCTTCCTCCGTGGTGAAGCAGTGCCCCTGAGTAGGAAGATAAGGCCTTTCACAGGAATTCTGGGGTGGGAGCTGGGTGGGACTTCTGGAGGGAGCCGGTGTCGGGGTGTGGGGAGTGCAGACGGGCCCTTCACTGCCCGTCACCTGTTGGGGTGCACGTCACCTGTTGGGGTGCACGTCACCTGTTGGGGTGCACGGGGACTGGTCTGACAGCAAACACCAGTGGGGACAGGGACGCGCTGGGCAGGGCAGGGCCCGCCTAGGATGTGTGCTGCTACCCTGGGCGTCCGTCCCTGATGCGTCACCAAAAGGACAAATCAGTTCCAGCTGGGATTTTTTCTTTTCTTTTCTGTCTTTTTGGATGGGCATGGTGGTCCTTTCTACTTATTATCCATTTTGAGTGAAAAAGGAAGTGGCTTTAAGTTCCTCTAATCCAGGCAGTCTCTGTTCAAATTGCGGTTTCTGTCTTCTGGGAGTTTCTGAGCGTGGCCACAGCCTGCACGCAGGCGGCCGGCTCTCTCTACCATCGGCTGCTTGAAGTAGCCCCTTCCTTACGCGCAGGTGCTGACACCCGCCAGGTGCCTCACATAACCTCCCCGGCTCAGCCAGTTCTCCTTTGTCCAATTTTACAAATGGGAGAGCTGAGGTCCAGAGGTCGGCGAGTGCTGAGCTGCGTTGCCAAGTGCCGAGCTGGGGCTCGAGCCCGGGGCCGCCTGGTTCTGAAGCCCCTCTGCGTTCACTGCTCCCCGCTAGCCTGGTGGCGGCCCCATTGGGGGAGCCCCGCGGTTGTGTGGCAGGCCCCCTGCTGCCGTGCTCTCTCTAGCGGGGTCGTGCGGCTCTGCAGCGCCAGGGTCCCGTCAGGTCTGCGGGGCAGGGAGGGGTCCGCCTGCTCTTGGCCGATGGAGCGGAAGCTCCTGGTGGACATCGCTGACCATGAGAAATAGCTTCGTGGTTCAGCTCTCTCCTTCCTGGGGACACCTGGGGAGGGGAGGGGGCTCGGGGGACAGGTTCCAAGTGGCAACACCTGTCTCACGTCCAGATGTCACTGGCCACTCAGGCCACTTGGGTTCGGTCAGAGGAAGATAGAATCGCTTTATCTGCCTGTTTCAGTTGGGTTTATAGGAACAGGAAAACCCAGAAACTTGGCTGGCCCTGTGAGATAGTGTTTTCATTTTAAGGATCAGTGTGGTTTATGAAAACCTTTGGCCGGAGCTGGAGGCATTCCTGGTAATTAATGTCTTATTTGACTACTTAATGAATGTCTTATTCCAACATGTGTCTGCTCAGGCACACATTTCTGTATTTAGATCAGAGCCGACATTCACGTTAGTAACAGAATCTCCCCGAGCCTCAGTTTCCCCGCCTGGGAGTGCGATGCTGGAGCTGACGGGGGCGTTTTCCAGCTGCTCCCCGCATCCTCAGAGGAGCCTCAGGGCACGGGGAGGGGCAGGAGGAAGGCTTGCTGAGGGGGGGGTTGGCCCCCGCCCCATGTGCGACCAGGACCAAGTGTGAGGCCTGTGATGGAGACACAAACTCAGCCTTGATGGACACGCCCACTGAGGCACCTGGCCGCAGCGTGGTGGGGACAGAGCCAGCTGACTTTCTCATGTGAGCACGACAGGGCGCCCCATATCTAACTATTCCTGCGTCTTCACGTCTAGGTATTAGAAAACTACAGGCTGCAAAGGCCTTTGCTGCTGAGCCACCAACCCCTCAATTTAAATGGGGAGTAGCAAAGCCAGCCCTAGTCATTCACCACAGAACAGTGCGGACATGCCGTTTGGCTTGAGACAGTGTAGATGCACTAGTCACAAAACGGCCTTCCCGGAATCCCAGAAGCACCGCCTGTCCCCAGGTGAGTCACCTTCTTGGCAGAAGGCCCAGTGAGAGCAGAGCTGTCCTGCGCCAGCCTGCTGCCTGTCTGTGCCAGGGTGCGCCTCTCACAACCGGAGACTCGCCAGCCGGGCCCCATGCACGCTGGAGACACCACTGCCCGCCATGCGGGAACTTAGAGTGGTGGGGCCGCTCGGCAGCCCTGGGGGGGGATGCAGTGGATAGAGGAACGTGCCGGACACGCGGGGCGGGGGCGGGGGTGCGTTGGCCACAGGGCTAATGACCCCGTGTGTCCAACAAATAAATGGCAGGGGTAATGCTCGGAGGGAGGACAGACGCACCACCCAGTCCCGGGAGGGGCCCTTTCTTGAGTCTGGACTCAAATCAACAAAGTGTAAGAGTTGACATGAGGCAACTGGAAACGCGAAGTTACTGGATGTTTGATAGTAAGAGGTTGTTCAGTTTTCGGTCGAAATGAAGCATTGGTAGGGTGATGCCTAATAGGTTGGATAATAGATGAAGAGAGAGCGCCCTTACCTGTGTATCCGCACATGAAACACACCTGCTGGGCAATCACATGGGCAGAAATGGAGACAGCACCCCGTACCTCAGGCCAGTGGGGGCGGGTGCAAGGGTGGGGGGACTCAGCCTGGGCCCTGAGCCCAGCAGGAGGTGCCTGTGGGAGGAAACTGTCCCCCAAGGCTGCAGCAGGAGTGGGGCTGCTGAGACCAGGGTATTGCTGGGAGTGGGGAAAGGGGCCCTGGAAACAACCTTCGCCCCTCTGGGCCCCCTGCACAAGGGTGCCTAGACCCAGCCCTGCTCTCAGGGGCAGCCTGCACAATGTTGGGTTGGGGGAGAGAGCCCAGTGGGCATACCCTGGGACACAGGTTACTGCAACCCGTCTGGACGCCCCCGGCCTCATGCAGGCTCCTGTACTGAGGTCAGGCATGCCCACCCCATGCCCCCACTGCCCCACCTCCTCCCCTCTACACCCCCAGTCTCTCACCGGCTGCTCTGCTGGACTGGGGGACATCTGGTCTTGGGTGGGCAGTCCTCGAGCACCCTCAGTGCTGACTGCAGTGGGTGGGGAGCAGCCGGCCCCAGGCCCCTGCCTCCTAGCCCTTCAGTGGTCCCACCTTCTCCACTGCCTGCCCTTTTGGGGGCCGAGCTGGTGGGCTACGCCCAGACCACCTCCCCTCTTTCACAGGTGGAGGCCACAGGTCGCGAGCTCTTCCAGCAGGTGTGTGACAAGACCAGCATCAGAGAAGCCCACTTCTTTGGCCTCAGCGTGGTCCGAAGTAAGTAAGCTCTGCCCTGCACCCCAGCCCAGGAGCACAGGCCGCTTCTGGGGGCCTGAGTCTGAAGGGCTCACTCGCACTCGCCTGGCACCTGTGAGCTGAGCTCCATGCTCCGTCTTCCCAAATCGGTCTGGTTTATATCCCACTGTCACCCGCCTGTTACCTCAGCAGAATTCAGGGGCAGGCAGCCCTGCGTGCTGCTGTCAGCTGGAACCCGAGCTCACCTGTGCTTTGGTCCGATTGCACCCAATCCACTCAGCTACACGCGGGTTTAACACGCGGTAACGGGGCTGGAGGGACGCTCTGATGGAGGCCCTGCTTCTGTTTCTAGACAACGAGTATATGTTTATGGACTTGGAGCAAAAGCTCGGCAAATACTTCTCAAAGGACTGGAGGAGAGAGATGCACCAAGTAAGTGGGACTGCAGGTGGGAGGGCAGGGGAGGCCCCTGGGGGACCGGACGTCTGTGCATCCAGGTCGGGCGCTGGTGCCGGGACCCGCCATGCTGTGCGGTGGTGCTGCCTCTGCACAGAGGGGCCACCGCCAACAGCGCTGCCCGCTGGTGGCACGCCTGCTCCCCGCGGTGTCCCAGCACTCTCTTTTGCACTCTCGAGGGACGCCAGCCCGAAGCCATCCTGGGCAAACGCTCGCGAATGTCATGGGCAGCGCTCCACTCAGTGTTTTCTGTAAAACAGCGAGATAAGATCAGCTGCCCAGGTGTTAAGACCTGAGCTTAAGCCTGGAGCTGGGATGGAGTCATGGCAGGGGACTGCCGCACGGTGGCCACGGCCCAGCTGTCAGCTCGCCGCTGAGGCCATTTGCATGGCCCCTTTTTCCCGCCCGCCTTCACCCTCCAGGGAACCGGCAGATGCAGGGCCCCCTTCGTGACGTTTCTCAGGGTGCAGTACTACGTGGACAACGGGAGGGTTATAAGGTAACTAACTGCTGAGGCCGTCAGGACATTCCCGGGGCGGTGAAGGTCTAGCGAGGTGACACCCAGCTTGTGTGAAGAGCATGACATTGCTGTCGCTTTGGTGGGGTGGGAGGCACCGTCATCCTGTTCCTGGAGATGATATGTGGAGATGTGTGGAGATGTGTGGAGACATGTGGAGACTGAGCTGGAACATAAAAGTTTTCCAAACGCAGGTATCCACGTTCTCTTGGGGGGTGGGGACGGGTGCATTACACGTGGCGGGTGCCGGGGGCTTTGAAGGTCGCTGCCGTAGACCAGGGCCGCCCTTCTGCACGGGGCTCGAATGCTCTCAGCGGCACAGCTGCAGGTGTCCGGCAGCGGTGGGAAAGGGGTCCCAGGCAGGGTACCCGGGGCTCCCTTCAGAGTATCGGGAGGTCTGCCTCAGAGCTTGCAGGGTAACACGGGGCTCCCCGGGCAGTTTAGGAACCCTAGTTCCCCAGCCAGGACTATGTCCCCAGGAATTCCCTGATGGTCCCAACGAGCCTTCTGAGAAAGGGGGGGTGGAGAGTGAGGGGGGGTTGTGCGGAGGGTTCTGGGGAGTGAGGGGGGTTGTGTGGAGGGTTCTGGAGAGTGGGGGGGTTGTGTGGAAGGTTCTGGAGAGAGGGGGGGTTGTGTGGAGGGTTCTGGGTAGTGAGGGGGGTTGTGTGGGAGGTTCTGGAGAGAGGGGGGTTGTGTGGGAGGTTGCCCACTACAGCTGGCTGTGGGGTTGGTGGAGGCTGCCCCTGGTTAGGGAAGGAGCCTGACCTTGGCATGTTGAGAGCTGAGGCTTCCTGGCTCCTCAGGGACAGGAGTGACCATCAGCAAGTTCATCTGTGCCACCCTGGAACGTGGCCAGGTGTGGCAAGACAAGGATGTGAATTCCCGGAGGGCAGGGAGGGCCTGGGGCTGTGGAGGGACCGTCCAGACGTCCAGACGCAGCAGGAGCTGGCCCCTCACCAGACCGCCTGCTGCCTCCCAGTGACAGGACGGCCCGGCACCTGTACTACTGCCACCTGAAGGAGCAGGTGCTGAGGTCGCAGTGCGTCCACCGAGAGGAGGCCTACTTTCTGCTGGCCGCCTACGGGCTGCAGGCCGACCTGGGCAACCACCGCGAGCCGGCGCACGTGGGCCGGTACTTCGAGCCGCAGGCCTACTTCCCGCAGTGGGTAAGGCCATGGGGCGGGGCTGCGGGCGGGGAGGGGCGGG